AAACTTGGGTCATTCAATTGTGAATTTCCTGGGAGCTGCTTCTATCATGGCAGCTATTGCCACCATAACAAAATGCTTACATAATTTTCTGAGTGTGTAAGATTTTAAAAACAACCCTGGGGAGAGGCTCTGTGTTCTTTCAGGCCAGTTGATTGTGACACATGCTCACAGAACAGCTTAGTGCCTGGGCTAAGGCGAAGAGTGCAGCCCCTAAGCAATCCTGGCCCAGTCCTTAGCTGATTTAAATCACTGGCGTGCTGGTTGAGTCAGTAAGGCTCTACCAGCTAGCAGCCCTTATTTTGAGTTCCTGTGTAAACCAAGACTGTTAGTGGCATTAAAATGGTGTGAAATCATAATTTGTCCCGTGTTCCCCTAATAATGCCATTTGTAGTCCTGAATTTCCATGTACAAAATAGTGGAGGAGAGAAATAAAAGAGATGCAGGGAATGAGACAGGAGATAAGGGGAATTAATTTTATTTGGATGCAGGCAGATTGGAGAGGATTGCTTTTAATTAAAGCTCCTCTTTTGTCCCTACTGTTTTCCTCATATATTCTGTATTTGTAGAATTTCAGTTCTGTACCTTGATTTTAGCAAAAGGATAGCTATTTGCCAGTAAAACTTTTGATATAATTGGTGATTGATGGAATGTGCAACTAGAAACCATTCCCTTATCATTTGGCAGAAGTATTGATTTTAGTATTTCTGTATAAATCCAAAGAATAATAGTCCTGTTTTTTCAGAGTGATAACACTGCTTGGTGGGAGGGAAGTGATTTAGCGTAACTATTTAATGTTGCCTTGAACAATGTCTTCAACCAGTCAGCATCTAAATTAACTGTATATAACGTAACTGCAGCTTGATGAGAAGAAAAGCTTGTAAGGCACTGCAGAGAAGACCAAAATTGTCAGTAGTTAGTGAAAAATAAGTGAGCATGAATCTTTTCTTAGAAATTGTCCTCTGCTGTGCTGAATCTCTGCCGCTTATAAACTCTGCTGGCAGTCATTTTAGTTGGACTCTCGTCATGCTGTAGACCCAAGTATACGCTTCTAACTGAGCTGATGACATTGGGCCAAAGGCCAAGACATAAACAATTCAGAAGAGAGGTAGAATCTTCCCATTAATGTACAGAGTTCTGAAGAGACATGAATATACCTGGACTGCTTCAAGAATATTCAGTAAAATAACTCAGTGGAATTTTTCTTGCATGCATGAAAATCTTTAATGAGTTGTGTAAAATCTCCAGATGGTTTGCTGAAACAACCAGAGTTATTTCAAAGGTCTGATGGATGACAGAACTTCTGCACAAGTAAATTTTAGGCGGGTATTTTCAGGTGTTTCCAGTGAGTTGAGATGCATGGATTTTTACTTGCAAAAGTAGAGGTGTTTTAAAAAGCTCCATGTTCCTTAAAATCAGGACACCTTAATTAAATATATAAAAGCAGAGACGTCCAAGTATGTCACTTCTAAATGTCCCAGTGGTAGAGCCACACCAGCTGGAGCCCGGGAGTGTCTAGTCCTTGGCATCTTGTGGCATGTGGCTGGGAATCACTCCAATGGGAATTTCCTTCCTGAGATTCCTTAGTGTGTGTCCACAGCCCTTCACCTGGGAAAGGTAGAGGGGGAAAAAGTCCATGTGACTGGGGGGGGGGGGGGGG